TTAATACTAAACCTATAAATATATGTACATAGATCTATTTCATCATCATCATATATAAATACATTTTCATATGTATATGCCTGTGTTTAGATCTCTATAAAGCCCTTTGCCTCCTAGTTCTTTCCTCTATTTCCTTTTACTTTCTTCTTGTCCCACTATCATGTTCAGCCTTCATTTGGGTTTCAGTAATTCCTCTCAGTTACATTGCCCTTGATCAAGCCCTACCACGTCTCCTACACCCTCCTCACCATCAATTTTAGATCACTTGTTCCCTTGTCCCTGGGTTTGTTAACACCCACTTCCTTCCCCCTCACCTCCCCCTCTCCCATGTCCCCCTGGAACCGTTGGTCCGGTTGTTTTCTCCTCCACATTGTTCATCCAGTGCAAGAGTTCCCTTAGGAGTATCCACAGGTGTGGAATTGCTGGATCTGAGCAATGAAGCTGGCGCACATTTATTAGGCCATGGTGAACAGTTTTCCTGAGCACTCCCATCAACAGTTTTCATTTCCCCCAGCTATGATTGAGAGCTCCCCTTACAGTATCAGCAGCAGCATGGGATGTCAGATGTCTTTGTTTTTTTGCCAATCTGATCAAGTTAAAATAGTCTGTTATTGTGGTTTTTATTTGCATTGCCCTGTTGGCTGGTGAAGTGAAGCACTTTATATTCTCCAAAATAGTTGCTACTATCTGATTTCCTAACCCCAAGCCGCCTTCCTCTTCAGAAGCTTCTGAAGTCTGGCCAACTTTTAGTCTGAATTGCCACCATCCCGGAAATGATTTCTGGCCACTGGATGGTGGATAAGGTCACCTTCAGGCTCCGTCCCACCCAGCGCGATGCCAGCCGGAACGCTTCATGTGCAATAACTCTTCAGTGCTGGAAGCAAGTCTGTAGCAAAGACTCACTCGTGGCCCACATTTCACAACTGAGCAAACTGAGGATCAGAGGGGTCAGGTAACTTGCCCCAGGACATAGCTGATACCCTCTAGACTCTAAGTCAGGGGACTCTTTGGTAGGAGCCCCAAGGGGCAGATAGATGCAGGGCCTCCCATAGCAGGAAAGCTCTTAAGTTACCCTCTGTGTCCATTCAGGAAACACACCAGGTCGTCTGATCTGCATGCTTGGCACTGGGGAATATGTTGTTATGCCCAAGCCTTGCAGAAGGATGGACTCCAGGTTGAGGGTGGGGGCAGTGGGATGAGAAGGAATCCCTACTTGGTGATATGGGAGCCCAAAGAGGGCTTGATGGAAAAACATTCATTGTCGAAGGCTGATGTGGCCCCCAGTGAGGGACTCCGTTTAGTGTGAAGTATCCCTGAGCAGTTTTCCTGGGCGTACTAAGAGGGTTATACCCTTTCAGTTATGTCTTCAATGCTTGTCTTTGAGCCTTCTTGTTTGTACAACAATGGCAGAGCAAGTCTAACTCCTAGACGTCTTAGGGAGGCCACAGGCTCTCACTCTAATGCCATCCCAGTCTTTGCTTTCCCTTGTATTTAGCTTTGGGATCCATTGACTGTTTAAGAGATTATCATGTAACTGTTCTAAATGCTTGAAAAGTAGTGACGAATACCATTCTCCCAATATAGGTGCCCTAGCTTGACTACTGACCACAAGGCCAGTAGTTTGAACTGGGGAGAAAAGCCCGGGTGATGCGCTCTTGTCAAGAACAGCATTTAGGAAACTCTGTGGAGGTAGCTTCACTCCACAGCTGAGCTGACGCTTGGAAATGAGTGGCGGCACACAGACCAGTGACATTATAAGACATTAGTAGTAGCGTATCCATGTTGCAAGAGAAAGATGATGTCTTCTCCCTTGAATATGTAAAAGTCTCAGAAACCCACAGGGCAGGTCTCCCCTGTCCCATAGGGTCGCTATGAGTTGGAATCGATTCAACAATAGCCAAGTGTTTTTAGGTTGATCCTCATTTTACAGGTGACGACACTGAGACCCAGAAAGATTTTAAAAAGCATCTGAGGTCACACAGTCCCTAAGTGGCAGTGCTGGGATTTGAACTCAGACAGATTGGCCCTGGGGTTTGAGCTTTCAAGCGCTGTGGCACACACGGCCTACTACCTACTAGGTATCTGTTGATAGCAGCGCGGAGGACCTCATGCTTCCTTTAAAAACAGACTCATTGGCAAACCAAGTGGGAGAACTACTCAGTAGACAGGGGCACAGGTGAAAGCCTTGGTGGGGGCCAAGTGACAGGAGCTCCTGTAGACACAGCAGTGTGCCTTCTCAGACACAAAGACAGAGCGTGTGGGCCATTCAGACTGATGTCAGTGATGGGAGGGGAAGCGTGCTCAGGAAGAAGAGAGGCCTGGCCAGGCCTGGATGGCAAGGAAGTCCGGGCAGCGGGCCAGGAGGAATCCATGCCCTTGTGTGGGGGCTCACCAAGAAAGCACTGTCACACCTGCCTTCGTATGGATCTTCTGATGTGCCAGGCACACTGGGCACTGTCGCTGGTGCATGGTCCGTAGAACAGGACGAACCTCGACGGGACCCTGTGCCACCTTCACAGCGGTTCTTATGTGTGAGCCCGTTGCTGTAGCCATTGTCATTCCATCTTGTTGAGGGTCTTGCTCTTTGTCGCTGCCCCTCTGCTTTACCAAGCATGGCATCCTTCTCCGGTGGGCATGTTAGACGTGGTAACTGTGGTGGGTGCGCCAGAGAAGAGCAACAAGAACCTCAGACTTCAGAATCTCTACTCGTCTGCACCAAGTATCTTTGGTGGTCCACAACAGAACCAATTCCATAGGGTTGAGCAACGTGAGCCTGTTGTTGTTTGGTTTGGGTTTTTATTCAGGGAAGTGGAAAGTCCGGGTGTAGACACCAGTTACAGCTGAGTTCAGGGTCTCCGGTGATAGTTTGGGGGCTCAGACTCTGTCTTTCTCAGCATTGGGGTCATTTTCAGGTGGACCTTCTCTAAGAAGTGACAACAATGGCCACTATCTTCCAGCGGGCACCCGGAATAGGACCTGAGATACAGTTCTCGAAAGAAAGTCCCAAAGCTGTGGCCTTTCCTGAGTCGGGGTTCATCCCTGGAGTCCATTGTGGCTTTTCCTGGCCCAGCCTGGGTCTGGCGTCCACCCTGTTGAGCAGGACATGGAGAGAGGTCCACCCAAACCTCATAGAGCGAGCTCCCCTAGCTCCAATTGGAGGAGTTCTTCATAAGCAGTGGGAAGAGACAGCAGCCAATGTAACCTCTTCCTCCCAGGGGCCTGTGTGTCATTTACGTGGAGCTGAGGAACTTGGGCGGAGACGTGTGTGCTTGATGCTGGGGCAAAATGGCATGTGCCTGGCTCATGATGGGGTTCAGGTGAGCCTGAGAGAGAGGAAGTAGACACAGACTCAATGACCTGTGATCAGAGGTCAGCTCTTCAACGAGTCATAGTTGGTTCATTGGGGCCACGTGAGACCACTGTTTCTTAAAGTATGATTAAAAAGCATTTGCTCCGACATGATTGTAGTTTATCAGCTCTATTTTTCGTCTTAAAACCCATTAGGAGAAAAGACACACCCTAGATAGTATTGGCAGGACCAGGTTGGAGTTAAATTTTAAAGAGAGTTGATTTTTTTTTTAAGAAAAAAATATATACATGGCCTACCAACATGGCCCACATGCTGAAAGTGGGAATTTCGGATGCTTTGGGGTACATAATTCTGGGGTCCCTCCCTTTCTGATGCTGTACCTGTTTTAGCGATCATGGCTGTGTATTGAGTAGTTCTGTCAGGGACCAGGTCCAGGGATTTAGGCAGATCACTTACTTGAATCCTGAGAGGAAACCTGGAAGCAGATTTCCTGTCTCGGTTTTACAAAGCTCAGAGAGGGTCAGGGACACAAGGCTGGTAAATGCGGAGACCGATCCCTGTGCTCTTCAGTACTGCCTCCTCAACGACTTTAGAGACGTAGAGGGGGCTATGGATGGTGACTGAGTAGGATCGGGGAAGTGGGGGTTGGAGGAAGTTCCGGAGTGGGGGGGCCCTCTTTCTTTTGTTGATCCTGCACCATGTCTAGAAGCCAGGCATGTGCCTTGGTCCTGTTTGAGTCGTCTACCCCTCCGGCCTCCACTTCCAGCTACACCCTTACCTGAGGGGATCAGTCTACCCCAGCCTCCTCGGCCTGGGCAGGTGGGTCCTCCCCAAGAAGACAGAACTTTCTGAAGGTTCCAGGAAGGTCCTGGTACCGTTAGCCTGGGGAGCTGGGCCACAGCGTAAGGCATCCTGGACCCCTCTTGTTGGGTAGATTTTCTCAGTTCTCCAAGCAGAGACATTTGGGCCAGAACCAGGGAGTCCAGGTTACCCTTTGCCCTTGTTTGGGTAGGCCTAGACACCCTAGGGTGTGATTTAGGATGAAATGCCGTTGTTGCATTAATTTAACTTAACTATTCCCATTAAAAACAGCAACAACACACACACACACACACAATCAGACCCACTGCCATCAAGTCTATTTCATCTTGTGGAGACCCCCCACCCCAGTTCTCTATAAGGGCCTCCTTTGTGTCTTAATCTTGGATTTGTTATTCAGTAGGAAGCCACGTAATGACACAGGGGTGTTCCCTGAGGAGGCCGGTGGTCAGATAAACTTTCCCTTCCTCTGTCCCTGTGCTTTCTTCTCTAGCTAGGTCAAAGAACCCATGGATTCAATTTCACAGTCAATGCCACCGGAGCAGCTTAGCAAAGGGAGAAGAGTAGCAACCTCTTCCCTCCTGAAGTTCACTCTCCTGTAGGACTGTGATGACTCATCAGTAAGGGTCTCTACCTTGGGTTGTTATTCAGTAAGAAATAGAAACAGTGGGGAGGGGCCCACAAGGTGAAATGGCCGTGTCCATAGGCAGACATCCTTAGGGGGGCAGGGACGCAACTGTGGACCCTCCGTTTATTGTTTCTTTGAGACAAATCCAGGAATTGGGGGAAATCCGCCCAGGAAGAGGCAGATATGAGAAGGAAGCCACTCAGCCGCAGGCCTGCTTCACCCTCGCCCTCGCATCTTTTCCAGGGTCCAGGAGTTAGCATGATGCGAGGCTGGGCCATCTCCTTCCTACTACTGGTGCTCCAGGGTGGTAAGTAGCTGCCCCTAAGGCCTGCATATGGGGAAGGGGCTGTTTCCCCTCCCAGAGTTCTGAAGGACCATGGCTAGAGAGCATCAATGGCTTCTCTTTACTTGAGGCTGACAAGTTTGAAGAGCCAGCTCTCCCTTAGCCAGAGCCGATTTCACCACAGGGCTTAACCAGAAATGGTACACACACGTCCCATAGTGACCCCGCACATGTGCTTGGGCCTTCAGGTGCCTGAGTGTTGACTCTTCCCAGAGATAGTTTTGCAACAGTCACTAGGTCTTCAGCACGTGCCATGTCCTGAGGTAGGAGTGGAAGTAAAGAGAGCTGGTGAGAGCCAGTGACGATGAGAAGCCGCAGCAAGCTAAAGGGAAAATGGCAGAGAAAGACTGACATGCAGCTGTGGGGGCCGATGAACCCAAGCTTGGCAGTCAGACCACGGGCTGATGGCTTCAGAGGCAAATGTACCCAAGGTCAGCCGGTCAGATGGCAGGCTGATGACTCCCAGTGTCGGAAGGCAATCTGGCCAGCTGTTGACTCAAGTCCAAGTCCACCAGCCAGATGCAGGATCGAGACCCAGCAAAAAGCCAACAAGCTTCTCCCCCATGTCTGTTGATATTAGAAGCAGGGCACACACCTGGAGACACAGCCTTTCAATTGTGTGGCTGCTCGTAGCGGATCTCATTGTGGAGGCAATTGCCTGGTGTTAGATCTCATCATGGGGGATTACTACATATGGCTTAACTGCCAAATCACTGAGAATCCTGGCCCAACCGAGTTGACACGAAACCTTAACGACCACAGAGACGCAGGAGGGCGGCATGAGGAGGCGGACCAAAAACACAGGTGTAATGAAGGCCACTCCCACTGATTCACCCTGGTCTCTCTGGTTTTACCAGGAGACCCAGTGTCTCCAAGAGCTCCTTCAGGAAGCAGATGTCAGCGCTCTTATTTTCCCTTTCTGAGGGGCTCCTCAAGGCCCCCCACCCATCGCCCACTGCATCCCTGAGTGCAAGTCAGCCACTGGAGCCCCTAAGTGGCCCAACCAACCAACATGTTCCCTGACTCCGAGCCACCGTGACCTTGCTTGTCCTTCCAGGTTCTGACCTGGAGCAAGACCCATGGGTTTTCATTCCTGGAGGGAACATTGGGCAAAAGTACTTCAAATGCATCCACTTTAGGGAGAAGACGCCTTTCCTAAGACATAGTAGCGGCAGTGGCGGCGGCCTTGGTACTCGATCTAGAAGGAGAAATCCCTTGTCAAGTTCACGAAGCCCTGACCTTCTCTCGGGATGTGTGGTTTCACACTGCCCTGTGTTGTAGGTCTTCAGGACAGCATGAGAGACTTTTCAGGAGACACGCTCGCCTGGGGCTGGAGATGGGGCTCGGGGCAGGGAGAGGGTGCTGAGCTGGATGCCTGCTGGGTTTCTGATGTTCCACATTGGGGAGCATCTCTGCTCCATAACCAGACTGGACAAATGAGACTCCAACAAGGGTTTCCCAGATGGCGAGGGCCCCCAGCCTGCATCTTAGAGATCACTAGGGAACCCCCATTGCCACTCATCCTCCACCTTGAGAGGACGAAGGGGAGCCTCGTCCTCATGTCCTGCGGTCCTGGTCAGCCTCCCACCAAGGCCTCTCTCTCCCCTGATCCTCCAGCCCAAGGATGTACAGACCTAGCCTGCTACACCGACTACCTCCAGACAATCACGTGTGTCATGGAGACGTGGACTCCCCATCCCCGCACACTCACCCTCACCTGGTAAGTGAGTCCCTCTGGGGACATGGAGAGGAGCAGGGGAGCTGCACTGGGTCAGGAACACAGGAGATACAGCTTGGTTATACCTACGTGTGCCGGGCACGTGGTTTAGCAGTACGATGAGTGGTGCCCCTTCCCACAGCAATGGGCTGCACTTCCAGAAGGACTCTGAGGTGGGAGTCACTGTGCGCCCTTTACAGATGACCAGATAGGCTCGCAGGATGTGTCCAGAGCTGCACTGACCAACCCCAGAAGGCACTCTCTCACCCACACCGGCCTGAGAGGATGGCTTGAGACCCCAGCAGAGTCACCCCGCCTGGCCTGTTCTGAGCTTGTATTTTGGGCCAGGCGCCTGCCATGGGCTTCCCAGGGATGGTCCGTTCAGAGTCGCCCAGGAGCCCAGTGAGAAAGCCCCGTCCCTCCCCTTGTCCAGATGTGAGGCTCAGACAGAGTAAGCAGCTGGCTCTAGTTCAGACAGCCAGTGGACGGCTGAGGTGGGGCTCCATCGAAGGCAATCAGAGGACAATATACAGCTTAGAAAAATGGATGCCGGACTCCATTAGCTATTCGTTCCAAACCAAAACCCAAACTCACTGCCATTCAGGTTGACCTTTTTGGGCAGGGTAGAACTGCCCCTGTGATTTCCAAGACTATAACTCTTTATGGGAGTAGAAAGCCCCATCTTTCTCCCAAGGAGTGACTAGTGGTTTCAAACTGCTAACCATGCAGTGAGCAACCCAACGGTGGTAGGCGGGTTGACTAGAGAAACAAATCCAGTGACACTCATGTATGTGTAAGAGAGAGCTTTATATCAAGAAGTAATTATGCATCAATAAAACATCCCAGCCCAGTGCAACTCAAGTCCAGAAGTCCGATACTAGTCCATAAGTCCCTCTTCAGACTCATGAAGCCACATGTGATGGTGCAGAATGCAGGGACATCCCTGACTGGTGGGTGCGGAGTCTTGAGGAGCCAATAGCAGTGGATGCATCTTCAGGAAGGTGAAGGCAGAGAGAGAGAGGGGGAAGTTCCCAGGACCCTCCTTATGAGAAGGCCACGCCCACAAGGAGGCACCATCCGGCTGTGACCTATCTGACAGGCTAAACTCCACCCCTACACTTTGAGTTGACACGAAATCATGTAACTACCACACCAACAGGGCTATATCACGCCAAGTGCAAGCAATCCCACTACACTGTTCATTCATTCCAGCCTCTATCAATGCATTCATTCGGACCACATTTGGTCAAACTCTGGCCAGACACTGCTATAGGCAGCGGGGATTCAGCAGCGCTCAGGACTGACAAGGACCCTGACCCCTTGAAGCAAATGCTGGGCAGAGAGTGGGCTGGACCAGGAGGCAGCTGGGTGCTGGGTGGGAGTTTGAGGAGTAGAGGGGAGACCACCCGGCAAAGAAAGCAAGAGAGTCAGCGTCTGACTCCATTGTCTGGGGGTGAGGATTTCAGGCAGGGGAGTGACAGACCGATTTGAAGGCTCCCACTGGCTGCTGGTTGAGAGGAACCTACGGCGGGGAGTGGGGGTTGGCCAGTGGTAAGGGGGACCTCAGATGGACAGCTGTTCCAGGGATCCAGACCCGAGGTTTGGTGACGTTTCTCCTTCTGCACGTACGCCGCAGGGAGCTGAGGCACACCACCACCAGATGGACCTCGGAGGGGTTCTGGAGTCTGTGTGGGTGTGTAGGGCATGACGTCTAGGGGAGCCCCCTACCAGCGAGTCGGTTCTGGTGTATCATGGACCTATTTAGGGTCTCCGAGACTATAGCTCTTTACTGGAGTAGGCAGCCTCAACGGTCTCCCTCGGGAACGGCTGGGGGGTTTGAACCACTGACCGTTCAGGGTCTGAGCAAGAACATTCCCCCTCCAGCCCCACTCCACAGGCTGTCCCCGTGTGAGGTTCCCTTGGGCTCATGGCTCAGCCCTCAGTTCAGGCAGCTATTGGGAATTCCTTAGGTGTGGGAGGGAGGGACGGAGAGAGGGAGGGAGGGAGAGAGAGACCTGAAATGCCCACGGGCCTTGCTGTCAGACAGCCAACCAGCTGCTGGAATAACCGGCCACTTGAGGCTCGGTCCAGTCGAGTGATCGCCAGTCCCCAAAGTCAAGGGCTCCTGCTCTCAGTGAGGTAGTGAGTTCTCAGAGGCAGGGTGCTGTGGGGGACGGGGTGGGGGGTACCTTGCCAGGGCCCTCCCAGCCCTGAGATTCTTGGGCTTCTGCCCTGGCCCTGCGGGCTGTGGACCCCCGGCCTCCGGTTATGACCAGCTGCTCTGTCCTTGAAGGGAAAACTTGTATGGCGAACTGGAAGACGAGATCACCTCCTGCAGCCTCCGCCTGTCCACCCACAACGGCACGCACGCCTGGTACACGTGCCACATGGATGTGTCCAGCTTCATGGCCGATGATGTGTTCAGTGTCAACATGACCGGCCAGTCGGGCAGAGGCTCCTGGGAGTGTGGCAGCTTTATCCTGGCTAAAAGCAGTGAGTGTCCCTTTGGCCCCAGAGCCCGGAGGTCTGGGTGGGGCCCGGACCTGTCTTCTTGGCCTTCTAGGCGCGTTCCAATCCTCCACTCTGCCGGCAGCACCTCCGAGCCTCCAAGCCCTGC